TTTTCAGAATTATCAGTTACAATAAGCTGCAGTGTGTCCAACGGAACGCCCTGGCCGGCTTGAAATCGCTGCGGATAATGTGAGTCTCGAAACTGCATAATTTCTGTCGCGGGCGAGCACAATGCGTTGATTCATACCCTCCTTTCACACGCGTTCGAAGTATTTCGAGTCGCAGTTTCATAAATCACGAGCAGGAAGAATTACGCCGAAATCACGCGAATACAGTGGCGAGAGAGCGACCATTTTTCTCGCGAAAGCACCATTTTCTGGACCGAGTGCACCGCGGCTTTTCAGTATGCTTTTGGTTCTTTGGCGAGTGGAAAAGGGGGAAGGCGAACAATTGGAAACGGGGTACATACATTAAATTTCGATAATGGAATAAATAAAAGCGACGATATCGGAGGGACGATCTGTGGTAAATTAACGCCCGGCGAGGAGAGCGTGGTCCATTTTATCGATCAAAATCGGCTCGGTTGATTCATCGCCGGCGCGTTTATTCCGCTGATTGCGTTATTAATTTCTTGATGCGGGCAATTTGAGGAACGATTGTTCTTTATGGCTGTAATTATTATAATTAATTCGTTAAATCATCCGCGTGTACGCAAAGTTATGAACAGAGCGAATTACGCTTACCCCCCCGGGGGGCCGAAAATTACGAAATTCATTCGAGATATGCGAATCCAGGGCGAATTCTATATCTCGCTTTATATTTGCAAATAATTAGTCGAATATCGAATAGAAACTCTACGTGATAACGTCGATCTCGCTGATTAATAACAACATCGTGCGTGTTTAAAGAGCTGCCCGCTATTCGTTCCGACATATCGGGACACACAGAGAATATACGTAGCATCGTCGATGTAAATTTCTTCAATTTTCAACTCCAGAGGTGGCGAAAGTGCGTTATTTATAGGATCGCTTTTGTCCGCTCGACAGTTTCAGAAATCTGACGCTTCGTTAAATTTATATTAAAATTTTCACCGCGAGTATCGCGTTGATAATGAACACGAAGCAACTAATCTTAATCCTCTATCAAGATTACACGAATATCCTTTGTACTACGTCATTGTCACAGTGTTCCATTGTTACAGTATAATATCGTCGTACACATACGAATACGCGACGTTCATTTCAGTTAAAAAAACTTCCCCCTCCTCTCGGCCTTTGAACGTTCTAACAACACTCTCGCAATGTAAAATCATCAAGTAGCGAGAAAACTTCATGTTTTCATTGGCCCGATATTCTCCAACCCCGATCGTTTAAAATCTGGATTTACACCCACCAGGTCCCTGCACGGTAACGACATATCGGTGATCCCCGAGGGCGCGTTCGAGGATCTTCAATCTATAACCCACCTGTGAGTACCCTCTCTCGCGTTACCGAGGCTAACGCACTGGTTTCCACGCTGCTGTCGATAATTCACCAACCGTGTGTGTATATGTGTGTGTGTGTGTGTGTGTGTTTACAGCGCTCTGGGGTCTAACCCGCTGTACTGCGACTGCAGCATGCGATGGTTGGCCGAATGGGTGAAGAAGGACTACGTGGAGGCTGGGATCGCGAGATGCATGGAGCCCCCGGCGATGAGGGACAAGCTGCTGCTCACGACACCTGCGACCGCGTTCCAATGCAAAAGTATGTATTTCCTCGACAGTTATCGCGATCGTGGCGAGAGCGGCCAGCTGTTGCTGACCAGTCAATTGATTCACCAGTACGGACTCTACGACTCGCTGACTTTGCGAGAATAACTCCCCTATTCCCCCCTGCACCCGATATGGCTCGACAGCTCGATAAGATCGATTCGAGAGATATCTGTCTCGAAGTCTGAATGCCTCGATCTTCTCGGCACAGCTGTTGAAAGTTATTGAATTATCTTGCTGATAAAAAGGATCGGTGAAATCGAAGCGAGTTGAACGACGCGAGTGACAAAATGTCGGACAGTGAAATTAGAGAACAGGAGTTTGCTGTAACGATCTCATTCGTTTCACGCGAATTCAGAGAAAAGAAAACATCGGAAGGAGAAGCATATTTGTTTCACGTATTTGGGTTAACGAAAAAAAATAATAATAATAATAATAATAATGATGATGATGATATTTCAGAAAACAAAAGTAAATTTTATTCGGTGTCACTGTGATTCAAAACAGTCAACCTTTTCTTTTTAATCGTCACAAACCTCCACTATCCTCGTCACTTGAAAGTATTTGCCAGCTCGACTTCGTTCTCATTGTTAATGTTAATTCTTTTGGCACAATTTGTTCTCAAACTTGTCCTTTGCTAAGTTCTCATAAATTTGCCGCTGCAACGTTTCTTTAAATCTCACGTTTCTAAAATTCAGATTGCGTGAATTGACATCGCGTGAAAGAGATGCCGCGTAAACGAAGGGACGAATGTGTTTTAGTTTTTTGAAACGAAGCTTCCATCAAACAATGAAACTGCAACCAGATTGAAAGATTCTGATTGAAAGACGTAAGACTTTTCTTTTTGTCATCTGTTCTCTCTATAGTAAATAAATTAACAAAAATTCCTTTTCGCTTGCGTTAAAAAAAACTTTTTTACCCTACGTGACAATTTTTTCTTAGAAACGTCACTAAATTATTTTAACAACAAAAGCTTATATGTTTATAAATGGTAAAGGACATTAGAAAAAGACGAAGTAGCTTACATTTTAATGCGATCATATGAGCCTGTTTGCTCTCGATCAAATTATTCATGTTAACTCTGTTGTAGCGGGAATCGTCGAATTCTTTAAATTCTCGATCGTTGCTTATTCTTAATTAATTTCATGGAGAAGAAAGCTTGTTCGCATCTACAGGTACTTATACAATAGGCATATATACTTTTGTGCAAATTCTTCTGAGGTTTGGAAAAGCTTCGAGAGGATCTTTCAAAAATTTGTCAAGTCTTTTAAAAAACTAAGGGAAATTGATGGTGACAATATATCGACTGAAAATAGTCGAGTCAATTTCAATATTTTCATATCTTGCATTAGTCTCTTTATTTATTATCAAAACTTGCTTTCTAAATGAAATTATGGCTACGGTTGTCGTCGTTCAAGTGTTTCGATTTCTCATTGTCAGACAGTCAACGTCTGTCTCTGTTGATAGCTGGCCGGTGTCGCTCAACGATCGATGAATGTTCCGCACGTGCAGATGTTTTTGATTTCTCACTGGCCCGTGACGCAGTCTGTTTAGTTCATGGTTTTTTGGCCCGTTGTCACAATGGGGTACTAAAATTGCTCATTAATCGTAGACCTTTCTTCCGCGCAGCCAGCCAACAGCCAGCCGAAGTCTTGGCCAAGTGCGACCTGTGCTACACCTCGCCATGCCAGAACGGAGGATTTTGCGAGGCGCTCCCGGACCGGAAGTTCCGTTGCAAGTGCGCGCCAGGATATCATGGGGACCGGTGTGAACATAAAATTGACGCGTGCTATGGAAATCCTTGCCGGAACGCCGGAACTTGTAAAGTATTGGAAGAAGGAAGATTCAGGTATCAAGCGTCTTGACTAACCTAACAGTAGAGAACTATCTGGCAAGCTCGTTCGGGTCTGATCTCTATGTGCTCGTTCAGTGGTGCCCGTAGAATCAGTGTCTGCCCACGAATT